GTAGGGAAAAAACCATAATCAATCAAAGGATAAATGTACCATGAATAAGACATTTGAAAAACGACATTTCTACTTTGTTACAGCAGTATTTCAAGAGCTAGAAGCCATTATCCTCTTGTTCCGATGACATTATCTCTTAAATCTACCTGTATTACCTCTAATCTTTATTAATAAGTAAATGGAGTTGAGCCCAGAGGCATTCAGACACTTCATTGAGTAACAATCTGTAGTATTAAATAATACAGCTCTCTTACAATTACACTTGTATGTAGGTTTTCTGTACTGTGGAATAAGAACCACCTATGGCAAAAAATGAATTGCATGGAAAATAGTTTGTTACAAGAAAAATTTAGCAATGGATAAAGGATACTTTAAAGGCTAACTTTCTGAAATCCTAAATAAATTCAGTCATTAAAAAGGGAGTGTCTAAATGTGTGATTAAAAGACTTGCATCATATTTCTGTCTGAAGAAGTTCAGTGGCTTCTTAGCCCTGCAATTTGATGCTACTTTTGCACGCTACTGAAATACCTGTACCTAATAGGTCTACGGACTTCAGTGTGACTTAGAGTAGGTATTTATCATCTCATCACAATGATATTTTTATTGTTAAGAAGGTAAAATTATGTTGATCGAAGCCTAGGAGAAGCAAGTATTCTTCTGTTGTGTAGATAGAACTCAAAACCTACTCAATAGCTGTGTTGCGTTCATTTAAAGGAAGACTTTACCAAGTCAGGAAGGTCACTGATGAGTCTTTGTGTACATTACACAAAGATGTTGTGAGGTGTTGGTTATGATTATTCTTACTGTATTTATTCAGGCATGGGACACGGTGTGCAGGAGAAATTGCCATGCAAGCCAACAACCGAAAATGTGGAGTTGGAGTAGCCTATAATTCCAAAGTTGGAGGTAAGGAAATGAAAATGAGATGTCTGGTATGAAGGGAAACCAGACAGACCCTGTGAAGTGCTGAGTGTTTTCAGCTACCAGTAACCTGAAATTCACCTCGAATACTGTGTTCCACCTCGAATACTGTGTTCAGTTTTGGGCCCCTCACTACAAGAAGGATGTTGCATTGCTGGAGCATGTCCAGAGGAGAGCAACCAAGCTGGTGAGGGGTCTGAAGCACAAGTCATACGAGGAGCGGCTGAGGGAACTGGGGTTGTTTAGTCTGGAGCAGAGGAGGCTGAGGGGAGACCTGATCGCCCTCTACAGCTACCTGACAGGAGGCTGTAGTGAGGAGGGGGTCGGCCTCTTCTCCCTGGTAACAGATGATAGGACGAGGGGGAATGGTTTGAAGCTGCGCCAGGGCAGGTTTAGGTTAGATATTAGGAAAAACTTCTTCACTGAAAGGGTTGTCAGGCTCTGGAATGGGCTGCCCAGAGAGGTGGTCGAGTCCCCATCCTTGGAGGTATTTAAAAGAAGGAGAGATGAGGTGCTTAGGGACAGGGTTTAGTGGTGGGATGGCAGGGTTAGGTTTACGGTTGGACTCGATGATCTTAAAGGGCTTTTCCAACCAAAGCGATTCTATGATTCTATGATTCTATGAAATACGAATGGTTGGTCCTTCTCAGAAAACACCAAACTTGCAGTATTAGGCTACAAAATCCTGTCTGGCCATAGTGCAGTGTTACATCTGTATGACAGCATTTCTTGAATGCCAGCATACTCTCTGGAGTTCAGTTATCAGTTGAATATAGGTAGCATATGTAACAACAGCAACAACAATATAGGTGGTGACAATGATGGTGATATTAATAATGATAGCAACAACTTGGTTTGTACCCAGAGATTAAGACTGTATCTTTTAAGGAATGACGGACTCTATTCTTATAATTGGTTGTCCTGGGAGGAGGTGGTGTGGGGGAGGAGAGGGATTGAGTAGAACGAACGTAAGACTGTACAAATTTATACTCACCCTTGCTTGCAGCATGTTGTTTCTATCGACACAATTGCCTTCAAAAGGTCATGTCAGTCAAGATATTCAAACTGCTGTGGTTTTTGTTTCAACAGCTTACTTCTCTACTATCATCATAAGTTAATTTTGAAAATAAGTAGATTCTTGTTTGCCCGTCAATCAATATTGCCATTTTTTTTGAAGCGGTGACTAAAGGTTTAATCCATTAGAGGTTTATGAAATAGTCATGATCAAAGTATCAGTTGAAAATGGTTATTTAGCTCAGAGGAAGACACTTGTACAGTCCTAGTTTTTCCATTACTCCCTTTTTTTCCTTTTAAACAAAGGGGTGATGAGTGGCAATTGACACCCATAACTGCTGTTCCCACCGTTTCAGTCTTATGTTTGTAGGTTCCCATTTACTCTGCTGAGCTGTCATAGATGTCAGCTTTGCAGTCTGCCTTTGCCATAATGCATTATGCTGTCATGCTCTGTTTAAATAAAATATCTCACTCATAAGACGAAATTTTCAAAGCAGGGCAAAATGGATGAAGCTGCAAAGACGCCTGAATTCCCGCTGTGCCCATATTTTAAGGCACTTGCATCTACAGAGAAGTTTCTTCCACAGTTATTTGCATATGCTCTGTGTTCATTTGCAAATGCAAACTACAGATCTGTGCAGGGTGATTTGTCTAGAAAACGAAAATAACATGAGGAAAAGCAGTCCGGCAATCCAAATTACCGAGAAAGCTGCTTACATCTGAGTGGGGGGGAGGAGAAAGAACAGAAGAGCTGAAAGAAACGGTAAGCTGTTATATATGACCAGCCTGATTAAGATCGGGACATAACAAAAATATGTTCAAAGAGCAATGGGAGATAGGACAAGGCTTCAAAAGGTTCAGATAAATTTGGAGTGGCTAAACATTGGAAGGCTTTTTTGATGTTCCAAGCTATACAGGATTCATTTCTTCACAGGCTTTTATTCTCCTTTTTTTTTTTTTTTAAATCCATGAAATGACACATTACACACTTCTATTTGACATTAGTTCAGGATGACTTCTTTAAGTGGCTGTTTGCTTGTAGCAGTTAGCATACTGGATAAATCCAGTGGTCCACAGCCAATGCCTTCTGT